AGATTGTACAAACACAAGAGATGAGTGTGAATGCCAGATGTGGTGTGTGTGGAGGAGTGGGGCCTAAGGAAGGACATTTGCGGGAGGGATATGGAGGCAGAGCATTGACAGGATGGGGAGGTGTAGTGTTATCAGTTGATATTTTGATCAACTGGAATGGGGAGAAATGTTCACATATTGAAATGTTCACTTTGTAAGCTAAGTAATGTGATTGAATGTATAAAAAATTAAATTAAATTAAAACAACAAAACAAGATGATCCAAACATTGCCATGCTATAATAATGGGGCATATGGAATAGGGTGTAAGCACAAGTTATAGAAGAATTTCCAAAAGCAATATTTGAAGTGTAGTTGACATGAGGTTACAATTAACAAAGAGTTAAAAAATAGTGAGGTGGAATAGTAGCTCATGAGCTACCCATAACCACAGCAACAAATCTAAAAAGCATATTAGAAAAACTGATCATGATTCACTGTGCCTTTTCTGAAGATGTGAAAGAAACGTGGAGGAAAAAGAGAATTGGTTCTCCAATAATGAGGCTACTGAGTAATCTACTGACATATACTCAGTAATTGCTTCTGCCACTGAGCAGGTGGCTCCTATGAAAAATACATAATTAGAGGACAGTATGATGATTTCCTGCTTGCTCATAACCCATTATACCTTCTAGTCCGTGCCTCTTAGAGCACCGGTTCCGTGTTACTCATGTTTCTCTTTTGCTATTTGGTGGCCCACCATCACAAGTTCCTTGCCCACCATCACAAGTTCCTTTAGAGCATATTTGATTTTATACATCATTATTTACTTCATGAGAGAGATGGAGAGGTCACCCACAACAGGGTCCTCACACAGTAATCCACTCTCAACCTCAGAAAGCTCAGATCAGAGGTGCACAAGCAGATGTCTGATGTGTGCAGGGAAACCTAGGAATATAAACCTGGGACCTTCCCATGTGGGTCCAGTTGTGTTACTACTGTGTTATCATCTGGACCTTGAGCTTACACATCTCTATACTAAACAACCAACACAAGAAAATCCTTGGCACTGGGACCAGGATGGAGTAATGGTTAGATCGCTGGATTCCTACATAGTTGACTACAGTTCAAGTCCTGGACCCGGCTGCTTAAAATTCATGCTGGGCACATGTGCATGCATGCCAAAAATCCCAAGAGGAGAATGGAAGAGAAGGAATTGTGGCGTGGCCATCCCTCCTGGGGGTGATTTCTCGCTTTCCGTTTCTCTGTTTCTATCTCTTCAGTGAGTGCACATGTCCTATAGCAAAAATCTCTCTCTTTAAAAAAGAAAGAGAAAGAAAGAAAGAGAAAGAAAATCCTTGGCACTGTATGGGTGTGCTCAGCAAGTGTGTCAATTTCATGAAGAGCACAGGAGTCATACTGTCCTCTAATTATATATTTTTTAAATAATTATTTTATTCAACTTTATGCATTTTTAATTTGAACAGAGAGGGACAGAGAGAGAGAGGGAGAGAATGCGAGAAAGCAAGCCACCAGGTCTGTAACCTGAATCACGGTGGGCCATGTGGAAGTCCAATACCCTTAGCTATCATGCCACCTGCCAGCTCTAATTAATATCATTAACCCCAACTCTCCAGGAGTGTATTAAAAGTATTTCCCCTTTGGGGCCAGCAGGTGGCGTGATAGTTAAAGCATTGAACTCCCACATGGTCTACCTGACTTACACTATGAAACTGGCAGCTTGCTTTCTTGCTACCTCTCTCTCTCTCTCATGAGTGCATGTGCCCTATAGCAAATTAAAAAATAATAATAATAAAATTAAATAAATAATTATTAGGTCCTTTCAGCATACTCTTTTATCGCCTTATGGGATCTAATTCTTTAGCTCACTGATAAGAGGCTAGGAGGTTACCTGGTGCAAACAATTCAACAGGGCAAACAATCTTCCACCCTCTTTGTTTTGAGAAGTGAGGATTGTGAGTCTTCTTCCCGACAAGCATTGAAAATGGTATTATTTTTAAATAATAACGAGACAGACTACATTAGTATAGACTACTGAAGTTCAATCTGAAAGAGGGAAAGTGAGAAAGCATCCCCTCAGGGGGAATGGCCACACCACAATCCCTTCTCCATTCTCATTTTGGGATTATGGGCACACATGTTCATGCGCCCGGCATGTTTTTCTCAAGCCACTGGATCTGGGACTCAAACTGTGCAGCCAACCATGTGGGATCCAGTACCTCAACCACTATGCCACCTGCTGGCTCTGAAGTTCAATCTTAAAAGCCACATTAGTTCACAATGTGATGCATGGAAAACCATTATCAGTGGCGCCTATGATGTTAGTTGTTCCTGATAAGATGGTACTTACTGGAAGTGTGGAAGGTAAAGTTAAATACGATGGGGAAGGGGAGATATTTGAAAACAGGAAAAAATAAAGGTTTTAGAGCTTCTTTCAAAAGAAGACAACCGAACAAAGGAAGGAATCAAAAACTTTAAACATAATAATAAAATAAAAACCTGTCTATTGGAGTGCCGCATGGTGGCGCAGTGGTAAAACATAAGGCTCTGCAAGGCCATCCCACAAGGGAAGCCTCCCAGTTCCTGTCTAGACCTTTCTGAGAATGCAGGATATTGTTTCTCTCTCACTCTGTCTCACTCATGGAAGATGCAAATAAACAGGGTCAGCCAGGTGTCATGGTGATTAAGGTGACTAGATCTCACATTGCATGGTCCCTGTTCCAGACCCAGTGACTTGAAAGACACATCAGGCATTTGTGCATGCCTGAAAATTCCTGAGAGGAAAATGGGAGAAGGGTTTGCAACATGCCCATCCTCCCTGGGAGGGGGAGTAGGGTGCTTTCTTTCACTCTGTGTCTCTCCCACTCCTCAGTGCACAGACCCTATAGCAATTATTTTTTATTTTTAAAAAAAGAAACAAAAAAATTTTAAACCTGTGTATGTATGTTTATGTGTATGTGTTTCCGCCTACACTGTCAGCTCTTTGACAGGAACCAGGTCTGCTTCTTGTCAGCATTCTAGTCCTTAACAAAATGCCTGATACATGCCAGGTGCCTAAGATGTTCATGGAATATTAAATAAGATTATGAACTATGGATAAGAGAAAGTTGTTTTGGTTTGATTTTTAGGTTTTTGTCATAGGGCACAAGAGAGACAGAGACAGTGAGAGGGAAAGTGAGAAATCACCCCCAGGGGAAATGGCCATGTCGTAATACCTTCTCCTCCATTCTCCTCCTGAGATTTTGGGCATGCATGCACATGGGCATGCGATTTTCAAACCACCAGGTCCAGGACTTGAACTGAAGTCAGCCACATGAGAGTCCAGCACCTTAATTACTATGGCATCTGCTGGTCCCAAAAAAGAAATCTTAATGAGATCCCTAAACAAGGAAGATAAAAACTAACCCCCAGGGAACCAGCAGTTGGCGTAATGGCTATGTCATTGGACTCCCACGTAGTCAACCGCAGTTCGCGTCCCGACATGGTGACTTAAAACTCACGCCAGGCATGTGTGCATGCGTGCCCAAGATCCCGAGAAGAGAAGGGATTGAGGCATGGACATCCTCCCTGAAGGGTGATTTCTTGCTTTCTGTCTCTCTGTCTGTCTCTGTCTGTCTGGCGAGCACACACGCCCTACAGCAAACAAACAAACAAACAAACAAACAAACAAAAACCTCTCCAAAACTAACCCCCAACAGGAATGGAAGTTAATACAGAATTATGTATATCTACCTTTCACTGTAATATTTAGCCCAAATCCCTATTTTGAGAATAAGGTATCTGTGTTTTTTGCACCTGCCAGCAGACAAAGTGGTTAAGCTATCAGCAGAGCCTCTCTCTGGAGGTCAGCCCCTTCCTCTAACTAGGCACTGCAGACCTAAGACTGTACCTTATCTAAATATTGGCAACAAGATATTACAGCCAGATTTCCAGCAGGTTCCACCCAGATACAACAGATCGTAGAGCAGCCTCTCTTATTCCCAGAGCCAACACACATCCACAGCTACATCTCTCTTGCGTTACTGGCTGAAAAGCTGTCATTGCAGTCAGTTCCTACAAACTCAAAAACAAGCCTCATGTAATCTTAAAATGACTTGGAGATAGATTTCTTTTCCCATTCCTAAATGAGAAAACTGGAGCTTGGTACAGTGTCCTGACCAAGATCATACAGCTAGCAAGCAGCAGGTCTGGTCAGTAAGACTCAGGCTACCACAATTCACTCACCCATTTTTTCAGGAATCCAGGGAGTTCAAGAACCAAAGAACTGGTGAGTAACCATCCCGCTTTTCCCAAGACTGAGCTGTTTCTTAGGATGTAGGATTTCCAGTTCCCATCATTGTATCCTTGTGACACGTTTTGGGTGCACAATAAATATTTGCTGAATAAATGAGTGAATGAAAAAGTTGATCGTGGCTCTGGGACACCTTTCAGTGCTACAATTTCTTTATGAAAGGCCCTTCAAGGCATCTTCTTAGCCCCCTCCCTGCCTCAGCTGACACTAAGAGAGGATCATAGAATTATTGTGCATGAGAATTTCAATGTAGAAAAAGAAAACTAGAGAGATACCCTAACGAGCAACTGAAATTGAGTTCTGCTTGTCTTTGTTGCTTTGGGGGAGGAAAATAAATGAACGGTAAAGTTGATTCTTATTTTCAGATAAATTAAACATTCAGAAATATGTGTTTGTTGCCTACTTTTAATAGCATGTTTCTTACTTAAGCCAGACTCCAAGCCAGCCTCCTGTCCAAGTTTTCTGTCATGCCTTATTGTCTAGTCTGTTCAGCTATTTTAAAAAATGTTGAATATCAACAATGGCTTTCAGGCAGGCATTGTCAACTTTTGTATGAAGCAATCTTGGTTGAATGAGAAGATCCCAGAGCTTATAGTCCCGTCTACTGTGCTGCCCCGGGCTGGGCCTGAATGTGTGTGACTGATAACAGGACACATTTCTACCTTCATTATTAAATTCCTACTCCATAATTCATTGGCCACTCTTTTTAGGAAAGATCTTTATGGCAAAGTGGGCAAGACAGCAGGTAAGTTCTCTTATGGAAAAAGTAGTCCAGCTGCCTCACTGTACTACTGGGCTAAGCGTGGATTCCTGGAGGGCTGTTTCCTCTTCACCTTATAGTCCTGACCCAGGGTCCCTGGCTGACCCAGCAGCCAAGTCCACAGACTCCCATAGACTTGTATGGGCCTTACCAAAGGGATACTTTTCAACTAATCAACCTACTTGCTCTGTATTAAGTAAGAACTGTGAGGACGGTGAGTCTTTGGTTTGTTTTTGCTTTTGCTAGGCTAAAATGAAAAATGAATATGTTGATTTGGAATCGGCTTTTCTTTCTCAATGCCGGCTTTTGCTCTTGTCAAGAGGTCTGTAGGAGTTACCTGCATGTAATTTCCTGCATTTGCAGAGGGAAGGAGCTCCTCAGCTCAGAAAGGGCCTTTTTTTTTTTTTTTTTTACTTCTCTCTGGTCTCAGGTAAACAAGGGTCTCAGCAGGGGCCAGATCTCTTCTCTTCGTCCAGATCATTTTTATTTAAATTTGTTGTTACTGCAAACAAACAAAAAATATGTATTGAGTTTGCTGGACTGTTTAGTGTTCCATATCAAGTCACAGGGGATTGCACATGCTACTGTGTATGCTATTTTAATAGCATTAAAAACCTCAAAAGCAAGGTGGGCAGGTGTCATGGTGGTTAAGGTGCTGGATTCCTACATGGGCAATTGTGGTTCAGGTCTTGGACCTAGCAGCTTGCTTTCTCACATTCCCTTGCTGTCTCTCTCTTTGTCTCTCTCTCTGGTCAAATAAGAAAATAATAATAATAAATTAAATAGTTATTTTTTAAAAATACCCAAGAGGACAATCACACCAGGCGCACACGTGTGTGTATGTGTGTGTGTGCCTCCCCAAAACCCCAAGAAGAAAATGAAGTTGCGGCATGGCCATCCCCCTGGAGCTGAATTTCTCATGTTCTCTCTCTCTGTATTTCTCTCTGTTTCTCTCCAAGTTTCCTCTCTCTATGGCAAAAAAAAAAAAAAAAAAATACAAAAGGGGAAGGCTTTGCATTACTTTGGGAATGATCATGGTTAACACATAATAACAATACATACAATTAAATAAATAATTCTTTAAAAAAAATACAACCTAAGGGCCGGCAAGTGGCGTGGTGGTTAAAGGCACTGGACTCCCACATGGCCAACCACGGTTCAAGTCTTGGACCTGGTGGCTTGCTTTCTCACTTCCTCTCTCTCTCTCTGTCTTTCTCTGATCAAACTGAAAAATAATAATGATATAATAATAAATAAAAGTTAAATAAAATAATTCTTTAAAAAAAAAATGCAACCTATGTGACCTGCTCACCTCCCAGGCAACTGGCTTAGAAAAGATGAGTCTTCCCAGAAGCCACAGGGACTGAGTTACTCTAAGTGAACAGGCATGTCACATTTAATGAGAGAGAGAGAAAATAAGGAGGAGAAGGAGAAACAGGAGGAGGAAGAAAGGAGAGGAGGGAGGGGGAAGAAGAGGGGAGGGGAGGGGAGAGGGGGCAGAGGAGAGGAAGCAAGAACTTCCCTAGTGTGTTACCATTTGGGCCAGCTGCACGGAAGAAAGGCAGAGAGAAGGGATAAAAGAAAGAATTTCTCTTACATACTGCTTCTTTATGAATGAAGCAATATCTTAAAATCTAAGTGGAATATTGCTGGGAAGAGAGTAAGAGCAAAATACCCACAGTACATTAAATTGGCCATGGGGTGATCAGATTCTGGGATTTATCCATCATTCATCTGCTGTGGTTCCTATGTCCCAAACCCTTGCTAAGGTCTCCGTGTGCATGCACTTATCTTTAGACACCGTGGAAAGACCATTAAAGGGCTCTGTAGTTATGAACTACTTCTAAAGATAATATGCAAATCTTTGCTAATTTAATTTAGAAATCACCTTTAAAAAATCGGAAGTAGGGACCAGCAGTTAGCGTAATGGCTATGTCGCTGGACTCCCACGTAGTCGACCGCGGTTTGCGTCCCGGACCCGGTGGCTTAAAACTCACGCCAGGCGTGTGTGCGTGCGTGCCCAAGATCCCGAGAGGAGAATGGAGGGGAAGGGATTGCGGCGTGACCATCCTCCCTGGGGGATGATTTCTCGCTTTCTGTCTCTCTGTGTCTCTCTCTCTGTCTGTCGAGCGCACGCGCCCTATAGCGAAAACCTCTCAAAAAAAAAAAATCGGAAGTAGCTTCAGATATCTCACTGTAAAAAGACCATTAAAGGGCTCTGTGATCAAATCTGCTGCCCCAAAAGCAGCCATCCAAAGTAACAACACATAGAATTTGGATTGGCATGCAAGAGTAACAGATCTCTGAGCGACATGTGAAATACTTGAGATATCTGAAGCTACTTCCCATTTCTTAAAGGTGACTCCTAAAATTAATTAACCAGGATTTCCTTATTATCTTTAGGAGTTACTATAGCTTTTAAAAAGGCAAACACGCACCAGGTCCTTCACACTACGTCAAATTCTTGTATTCTTCAAAAAAAAATTGTTGCGGGCCCAGCAGGTGGCGTGGTGGTTAAGGGCACTGGACTCCCACAGGACCCACTGTGGTTCCAGTTCTGAACCTGGCGGCTTGCTTTCTCTCTCTCTCTCTCTCTCTCTCTCTCTCTCTCTCTCCCTCTCTGCTCAAGTTAAAATAAACAAATAAACAAATGATATTAAACATTTTTTTTAAAATAAAAGTTGTTGCTTTCTGGAAATTAATCCATAACTACCATTTATGGGGCCAGCAGGTGGCATGGAGATTAAGGTGCTGATTCCACATGGCCAGTTTCGCAGATCGAGTCCCAGACCTGACAGTTTGAGAATAACTACTACTTGCGTGGTCATTGCCCAAACTGTGGTAGCAATTAAGTTATGACAGTGCCCATAGTGAGTTGTAAATAAAACGCAAGATGTCAAATAAAAGATCTAAATTTGAATGTTTTCACTTGAACAAAGCAATGAAACAATACACTCTCTCCACATTCTCCAACATTTTTTTTTCAATGGTAGAAAGCAAAATAAAATTTCTTTGAAAGAAATGATCAATATAGCTGTCCATTAGAATTAAATCAAATTTTCCTCAGACAAAGAAAAAATTCACTACTTGAAACATTTTGGGAGCTGACTTACAGCTCATGGATCCTATGCACTTAATAATCAGGCTGACAGGGCTGGCAGGTGGCGTGGCGTTTAAAGGTGCTGGATTCCCACATGGCCGACTGCAGTTTGAGTCCTGGACCTGGCGGCTTGGTTTCTCCCTTCCCCTTTATCTCCTCTTGGTCTCTCTCTCTCGTTAAAAATAATAATAATGACAAAGGGAGCTGACTTACAGCTCATGGATCCTATGCACTTAATAATCAGGCTGACAGGGCTGGCAGGTGGCGTGGCGTTTAAAGGTGCTGGATTCCCACATGGCCGACTGCAGTTTGAGTCCTGGACCTGGCGGCTTGGTTTCTCCCTTCCCCTTTATCTCCTCTTGGTCTCTCTCTCTCGTTAAAAATAATAATAATGACAAATGGAATTAAATAAATAAGCAATTTTTAAGAAAAATAAATTAAAGGGACCAGCAGTTAGCATAATGGCTATGTCACTGGACACCCATGTAGTCGACCACGGTTCGCATCCTGGACCCGGTGGCTTAAAACTCACGCCGGGTGCATGTGCGTGCGTGCCCAAGATCCCAAGAAGAGAATGGAGGAGAAGGGATTGCGGCATGGCCATCTCCCCTGGGGGGTGATTTCTTGCTTTCTATCTCTCTGT